GCAGGTGTCCAACACGTGTGTCATACACCATGTAGTAGTAACGCTGGTCCAAAAGTATGCAACAAAGCAGCTGTACGATCAGTTCGCAATCAGTCATGCGGGAGACATCCGGGCCAGGGCAGTGGCCGCCGACAGCGGACAGGAGCCGGGCCCAGATAAGGAACATGTGACAGATGGGCCTTATTATGTGGCTCGATTCTTAACAGAGAATCTCCAGTTTTATGGATTTTGTCACATTGTTTTTAGCAGTTTCAAGCTCCCGAAGTTGCTTCCGCCTAAAATGCTGCGACAAGTCTTATCCCTTGAAAAGCAGCCAGCAAAATGAAGGCGCATGAAAAATCTGTCGCACTGTGAGCCATCGATCCTCTTTCAAAATTCTCACCAGCCTAAATCAATGCCGTATTTTGGCATCTACGCTGTGGAGCTAAATGCTTCTTTAATGACCCAAAATACCTACCCGCGCGTGGAATTTCGTCTCCCCCAGGAAAGACTGTCAACATGACAAATAATCTAAACAAGCTGGATAGCCTTATTTGCCAAAGGACAGATGAGTCGAATAGGCAAGATTGTGCACCAGTGATAAACAGCTGTAGGTGCATAGCTAGCATAGCAGCCATGACATTTGAATAAAGGGCGATAACAATCTCCATTTCTATCCCCCCCCCCCTCCCCCGGTCATCGGGCTCGCTTTCCAGAAAAAGGTCCTGAAGTACACCCTGAGCTTGCCCCCCCCCCCCCCCCACTTTTTGAAACGTTCCTACGCCTATGGTCCCGAGGGGCCTTCGGGTCTTTTCGCTACGTCCAACACTGTCCTAGGGTGGTCCTTGGCTCCTAGCCATACAAGACTCTTGTTATGCATTGTAATCCCCAGGTTGACAAAGGAGTCCCTTCATTGTCTCAGGGGCCCCAATTGATGTAAATCGCGGGCCCCGGCATTGTCCCTGTTTGGGAATGGATCCTGAGTCCCAGACCTGACGATGGGGCGATCCGGTGGCAAATCTGTCACTTGTCACTGTCGTTAAGCCTCCATCACACGGGCGCTTTTTCGCAAAATAGGTTAGGGGACTGAGCGGGGAACCGTACCCCCAAATATACTAAAAATAGGTTTTTCTGCCGGATTCGACCCATTTTCCTCTCAACGTAATGGAGTTGGATTCGCATCCCACTGAATAGGAAACTACGCACTTCCCTAATACGTCTCTTGCTCTGCCTCGGCAGGCGATGCTGTAGTTTGGGCACCATTACCATTTTGTTTCGCGTCGTCGTCGAAACTAGGCTCCGTAATCGCCGCAGGGTCGACGTCATGTGGGCTTCAGACGTTGTTGGACGGGCATGGCTTTGGGGGTGAAGAGAGTGAAAAAGCCTGCACCACTGGAGGGAGCTGTGCGCGACTATTAAAGACCGCCACGGGAACCCGCGGCTAGTGGCCGTAAGCGGGATGCATGCTGCAACGCGCACTCGCGTTAGCATATTCAAACACGGCCAATGTTGTTTGGTGGTCAATGTCGGGGCGACTGCCGCCAGAAGTTAAGTCGGCTGGTGTCGATCGTCAAGTTTTCGTAGTTGCTTCCACCGGCTACTGACGTGAAATTGGAGGTCGGACCACTTCAATTGTTCTTTCGAGCATTACCGGCTAAATATTTGCTCACGTTTTTGGGCTCCAACATTTGACCGCCTTGTTTTCAATCCTCGGTAAAACATCGCATCGCATGATGACAAAATAACACAGCTTGCTACAGCCTGTGGATCTTAAAACAGCAATGAATGATGCCAAAACACGTAGACAGTTGCACAAAACTATGCCAGAGTTAATAAGACATATTACTTGTGTGATTAAGAGCATGCATCATGCGAGAAAAAAACAACAGAAAATGCTGAAGTAGACACCGTGCACACCAGGAGCTTTCAGTGTGCTTACGTCAGTAAGTTGCACTCCCCTAAGCATGACGTCGGATTTTTATTTTCTTTGTCCCTTTTACCTTCGAAACGATAGGCAGAAACCTCCTTTAAGACTGATTTACATTTGATCTTCCATCTTGAATACTCTGCTTGCACTCGGGGCTCTGAAGGTTGGGGGAGCAAACTTACCGTTGGGGGGGGGGGGGCAAATGGGGCATGGGGCCCAGCGGCCCACCCAAAATAATGTAAATCGACGCTCGTGGGTTCTCCGTCGCCCAGCGCGTCCGGCCACTCCCTCCCCAAGCCCCCCCCCCCCCCCCCCAGAGTCGAGCGTCTGGCGCGGACTGAAGTGGCGCGCTCGGGGGAAGGGGAGGGGCAGTCGTTGGCTAACACGCTTCATGACTTAAGAAGATCTGCTGTAAAAAAGGACAATTGCCTTACATCGAGGTGTGTAAAAAGGCCGCCAGATGCGCTTCTCGTGTTCTGTCTGGTTGCCGCAAGTTTGTGTCCGGGTTTTACTCGGATGAGAGCATGTCTGACCCTGAGCATGGTGGTGAAGTGGTCCTGATACTGCTGGTGGCGAGCGCCAGGCGGCGCCAGCGCAGCTGCTGCTCTCCTGTGGTCTTATGTGCGCTGCTTGTGACGAGCTGGTCGACAGCTGGTCGACAGCTGGCAGTGCCGTTTCGGACTGCCCAGACTGATAAAATTCCCTGATAGCTCGTTCGCTCAAAATGTGCATAGGGCTTTATCAATTTTGAAATCAGTGCTGATTGTTTTTTTCTGGATGAAACCAGCTGGTACTCGTCGGCACTGTGGTTCCTTTCTTTGTTGGCGTCATTCGCTATACGGTCTGAGCTGGTTTACATATCCATTATTGTGGCGATGCTCTCCGCGTTCTTATATTGCACCAATGTTCATACCGTGGACGCTTGGGGTTTTCACACCTTCGTTAACGGCTATCTTCGAGTCAGGATTGCACGTAAATGATCCTAAGGGGTTTTTAAGCCAATCATTTTTCTATAAAAGATTTTTGCATTTTTGAGCAAAAGTGAATGTTCTTGTCATGGCAAGCATTTTTGCTTCCCATGAAAAGAAAAGCTTTCGTCACTGAGCACTTTTTAATGAATTTTCTTTTCATGGCAAGCCCAGTGGTCATTTAGGATCTTCATTCTTAATTAGCATCGCTTCATTCTTATCACTGCTCCGTAGTAGTTACGCACGCCGGTGCAGTCAGCCCGGTGGTTTTAGAATGGCCTATCCCGGCAAGCATCGCTCCGTGATCTTCCTCACGCAAACTCGACCCCAAAGGCCACATCCTTTGTAAGTAACTGGCGTGAAAAGGGACTCACCATTACTTTTTCATCCCTGCGGTTTCAGTATCGGCAGCTGCCCCTTGCCCTCCCCCTGCGCGCCGCCCCACACCGCGTCAGACACCCGACCCTAGGGGGGGGGGGGGGGGCTTTGGGGAGCGGTGGCCGAGCGCTGCGTTTTCAGGCCCGATTCGGCGCCCGCTGGATGAGTCGGTATGAAAAGTTCTATACGTTTCGCGTGGCTGGAAAGGGATGAAGCATGGATTATCCAAACATCGTGAACATTTTAAATTCAAAACGGTCATTATTTTTACATCTTGATTTCAGAAAAGGTTAACAAGAAATGTACATAATTTTTACGGATTTTTTGGTTTGTTTAATATACCATTTAGGTGCATGGTACATACTTCTCTGGGCAATGTTGTTAAAAATTGGCTTTTTCAAAACATCAAAAATGGGAAAACGTCTACAATTTCAAAATGGTGACTCAAAATGCTGCATTTCTCTCAAATTTGTGTTAAGAGCTAGGTAAAATGCTGTAGACAAAATTTCGTCGAAATCCAGGACCGTTGGGTATCAAAAGTGGCGCTTTAATAGGTGAGTTGGCGTGAAATGACCCAGTATACGGCCCGTCCTGAGATGAAGTTGGAGAATACGATGTAGATATGTTGGTGCGTGTCCAAGTTAATGCATATGCAAGATGTATACAAGCAGGGCCTTTGGGTACCTTTGCAGCTAAACGGTTGCGGTATCTACAGTATGTAGCCTATGTGGACTAATGAAAAGGTCCAAAACTGATCCGCTTCAAACTTGGCTGGTATTAGTAAAAGTAAGGCCGTGTTTAGGCGTATACAGCCTTGGTACAGGTAAGAAGCGGTAATCTGGAAACATACCGAAGGCACGCAAAAGCCACTGTACCACAGGTAAGGTGTAGGCCGGGCAAACTGAAACGGTGCACACATTGGGAACGTCCTGTGGGATGTTAATGCTAAACCTGCCTTTAAATGTTCCTTTGATGAATTCGTCCACATGTGCCACCTTTGAATCATTTGTTTTCCTTTGCAGTACCATTTCCCACTAGCCTGGTCAGAAACTAGGTGATACTGAAAATTCGGGCACAACTCAGAGTTTCTTTTAAATTCCAAGCAATGAATGCATGACAGCGCATGTTGAAGATCTCCCAGCATTTACAGACATAGCATATTGCGGAGTTGGCACGGCATAGAAAGGTAAGCCCTTTGTACCAGCATCAGAAGACAGGGATCTCGTTTGGTCCCAACTTGAACCGTACAAAAACCGGAATAAACAGGACCGAACCCCATCATCTGTCGACAGGTTTTTAAAAGTAGTCAGTAAATGTTAGTTCGAAGGCGATACAAAAGTCGCACTCTATGTTTCAAGCAGCAAGTGCCCACGTCATAGCACTACATTACCGGATATGAGTCCAAAACCGGTCTGCAGCCCAGACCAGGCATTGAGCATATAAAGTGCAGCCCGTGGCTTTGACTCTACTGAAGTCCACGTAAGACGCACTCACGCGGTCCTCGAACTGAATATTAAAGAGCATGTTTCTGTATGTAAACGTTCTCGACGAGTCCTGCTTGTAAATCGTTCTGAAATGTTGCTGCCGATCAGTTGCATCTCCTCAAGTCGCATGCTTTTCGAGCCGGATTGCAAATACACCTGCCATGGATCTCTAAAAAGTATGTACCCAGCACAACCGTAACAGCTGATTAATCGCAATTCCAGCAGCCTACGCGGTCATCTCTACTCAACACACATTGCGCACAATGTTTTGTGTATTACTACAGCTCTTCCCTACCACAACAAACGAAATAAATACACTTATCCACAAATATGGGACATCACACATGCGAGCGTTTCCATGACACGGCAACCCCAAGCCGACGGTCCTCGTTACCGGTAGGCGCCCGGTGCGCCTGGTCCGACATCCGCTCGCTGTGCGGAGGAACCTGGTCCGCCCCGAGCTGAGACCCGATGGCTGGCACATAGCGCCGGCGGTTCAAGTTTTTTAATGGCAGACGCTGGTGGGTGGAGCAGGCTCCGAACAGCTGTGGATGGCTGTAACTCACTCCCGGCCTGACTCAGTGTCGAGCGCCCCATTTAGCACTCGCGGCGTCCCGTAACCTTGGCTAGCAGTCTGCCTGTACCGGTGGCATGACAGGTCTTCAATCCCTCTGCGCAGTTCTCCTTCTGGTGTCCGTAACATGGCTCCAAGCTTTGGCCGCTGACGAGCACCCGGCTCCAGCTCAAGTGTCTGCCTGTGACGACAGCTGAAGACACAGCGCTCAGCGCGGGTCATCGAGACGCCGGTGCTCTGGCGGCAGCTGGCGGCACATCGCCCAGCGCGAGTCACCGAGACCCCGGTGCTCTGGCGACAGCTGGCGACACAGCGCCCAGCGCGAGTCACCGAGACCCCGGTGCTCTGGCGACAGTTGGCGACACAGCGCCCAGCGCGGGTCACCGAAACGCTGGTGCTCTGACGACACCTGACGACACAGCGCCCGGCGTAGGCTACCGAGACGTTGGTGCTCTGAAGACACCTGACGACACAGCGCCCGGCGTAGGCTACCGAGACGCTGGTGCTCTGAAGACAGCCGACGACACAGCGCCCAGCGCGAGTCACCGAGACGCCGGTGCTCTGACGACAGCCGACGAGACGACGCCAGCGCGGCGCGCAGAGCGCAGCTTCTGACGCCGCGCTGTCGAGCGTCTGCTGGCCCCGTCTGCCGCGGCCAGCGCCAGGCCGTCTAATCAGCACGACCAAACGTGGCGTTCCACGGACCTGTCCGCTCCGCTCCGAGGACTCTCCGCCGCGCCGCTGGCAGAGCATCACGGGTTGGGCGGCTGTGAGCCGGCCGGCTCCATAAATTCACGCAAACGGCGGGTAATCGGCCGCTGTTCTGAGATCTGCCTCGGGCGCCACCGAGTGACGCCGATGAGGTGTAGATGACCGGTGGCGCCGCGCCGGGCGTGCCTCTGAGAAGCGCCCCGCCGCCCCTGACACTGTCTGGGTGCGGAGTGACCTACGCGCCACCTGTTGTCGTCCATCCGTCTCGCCCGTGTCACGGAACGTGAGAAGGCAGGATGCTAACCAGCGCAGCCTGACCCGCGGCAGAGATGAGCAGCACCAATGGGTTCAGCGTACTGGCGACCTCAGGTAACGTTTGCTTGAGCGACACCGCCGGTCCGTCTCTCCGACCAGGTGTTGCCTTCGCAAACCAATTACCCGCGCGCGACTGGACCTGACCGAGGGACATCGATCGTGACATCTAACTTCACCACTGAGCGAACGGTGCAATCTTGAGAACCCACCCCCAGCGCACGAGAACGTGGACACCGGCCATGAATTCAACAACACAGGATCGGCGGCTCACAAAATTCCAAACACACGCCAGCCAGTCGAGATCCCTCCTCGCAGCGAGTACACTAACGCACGGGGAGCTGCACGAGCGGTGCGGGACGCCGGCCGCCTATCGGCGGGCGACCCAGGACTGCGACGACACTAGCGCCATCTCTTGTCGACCCCGGAGCTTGCTGTCGCTGAGCGACGCTTCAGCGGGACGCCTCGGGCGTGGAGAGGTCGACTCCGATCACGCAGCCACGCGTGGAGCGCAGCAGGCGCCGCAGCCGCTGCTGGTACTGCTCCACGAGCACGCGCGACGGCCCGTGGCGCACGTGCTTCACGTGGCACGCGCCGTGCTGCATGCCCGACATGCAGTCCAGGAACTCCTGTCGGCACGGTCGATGTCGGTTGTGCGCGATCATGACGGGGGTCGGGGGAGGAGGTGCGGTAGTCTGGTCTCGGGACGCGCAGACGGTAAGGATGGACCGGGGCATGGAACCAGTCTCGAGCTGCCATTTTTGACGTGTGGGTGCACCAACGCAGTCGGTGTTGGACACTGGTCATCTGCAGGTGTATGGCATTTCAATTTTGATCGCCGTATCCCGGGGCAGGCAATAATTTGGAAGGTAACGCTGGCGTCACGAAAGGGAACATCATCGCACGCATGCATCGCCGTTGGGGACCGGTGGGCCGACGCGAAATATTTGGCTCGCCATTTATCGTCGGCAGCATCTGGAAAAATTAACGTACTCATTGTGCTATCAATGGTAATTGAAAGCCGAGGAATTCATCACGTGTGCTTACGCACGTCGGATATAATTGAATTGCCACCTAATTCTGAAGGCAAAATTAAGCAGCAAGACACCATGCACAGCTGCATGCGTTGTGAAGATGCATTTAATGGGTTACGTCGCTTATAACGTGCATTTACCTCTTTGGTCGAGCACCTGTTGTCAAATCCAGAATCTGAGGAGAACTGGGCGATGAGACGATTTCCGCATCTTCGCAAAGCCTTGAATAGGCAGATTTCTGCGAATAGGTCACATGGTCAGGTTAAGGTTATATTTTAGAATAGAAGCCACGGGTTATTTTCGTGGCAATCGCAGTGAACGTTGCGGGATTAGGTAGAACAATATTAAAGGGAATGTTCCAGGTTCAAATAATTTGAAGCAGCCGTATTATGAAATAAGCTAAAATGGTAACCGATGGTAAAGTTCATATGATTTAAGTTGAAAAGTCTGCTCTAGACAACACAGCTCGATTTATTTTAATTATACGTTTAACACATTCAGTCAATAGGTTCCTCAATACGTCATTGTTTGATTGCGCAATGGAACATTTGCATGAAGTTGAGGTGCTGCCAAACTAGCCGTACAAAATGGCCACCGTGGCATTCATTTGCAGTACTTCAAACTCGCTAATAGACTGTAGCACGGCGCTGGAAGCGTTTGCAGGGCGAAATATCGTTGTGTGCTCCCTTTTGGCTCTTTCTCGTGGTGTCCTTGCATATTTGTCCGTGAGTTTAAGAAGTTTACCTGCATTCACATCTTCGGTTGTGGCGCAATTCTTATGATATTCGATTACGAGTAGCATTTCCGTTATAACTAGTCACGATGTTCAAGTTCTCATCTTAGGTACCACACAACGTCATTCGTGATTGAGACTTGCACAGCTTGTTCAACATTGGTCGAGTGTCAACTGACGTCCCACGTACTTGGAAATCGCGCTCACGGACTCCAGATCTCAACAGCTTGACGATGTTGTTCTTCCCGGGCTTCAACGTCGCATGGCCCATGAGGTGTTAGGTTTGGAATGACGTTGCTATCGCGTCATGCATGCCCGAATGGCTTTGAAATAGCCTGTACGGAATAGTCTGCACATCATCGCGGGCGTGTGGCTCAGAGGCTAGAGGGCTTTATGTCTTAAGAATTGCAGGGTTGTGACCACAACGAATGATCTTCAAAGTTGCAATTTCAGTTAAAACCCCCTATACAAATGTGGAACACTCCATTTAAGCTCATTAGCATTCGTACCCGATCGTGGGGCTGTCCATTGCTGGTCAAAAAGTTACATCTGGTGTTTACATAAGAAAACAAAACTCAATAACTTCCCAGAGTATGTTACGCGTCGTATATATAGATATAGATATGAATATATATATATATATATATATGCATTGCAGTTTTACTAAAAACCCTTCAGTAATACGCGTATGATGAATCATTGTTTAATATTTGTGCTGTGGACTATAATCCATAATGCGTATGGTGTAATGCGTGCAAACAAGCAGATATGTAGGTACATGGTATACGTATTTATATATGTTGCATTATTGTATCAACTATGCGTAATATGCTAGGCATTATTACTACAACGTTTTATGCAAGGTAAGACATATATATATATATATATATATATATATATATATATATATATGCATATATAGATAGATAGATAGGATAAACAGATGTGTGTGTATATATGTAGTGTATATGTATATGCATGCGTGCGTGCGTGCGTGCGTACGTGCGTGCGTGCATACGTGCGTGCGTGCGTGCGTGTGTGCGTGCGTGCGTGCGTGCGTGCGTGCGTGCGTGCGTGCGTGCGTGTGTGTGTGTGTGTGTGTGTGTGTGTGTGTGTGTGTGTGTGTGTGTGTGTGTGTGTGTGTGTGTGTGTGTGTGTGTGTGTGTGTGTGTGTGTGTGTGTACACATTCATTTATGTATATGTGTATAACATAAAATGTGATTCGTGATTGGGTGTTACACAGCTTACACAACAATGATTGAATGACTTAATATACGTTGATATGCATTGAGCATACATATATATATATATATATATATATATATATATAATATCTGTTCTTTTCCGTCCGATTTAGTTGGTGTTTTTAAATCAGTCCTTTTGACATCTGCCTCTCAAGTCATACCATTTCTGTTGTTTAGACGCTTCTTCTTCATCATCGTCTTGTGATGTATGTGCTGAAGATGCAGCAGATGTTTGAGATTGGCGTTTTTCCCAGAGAGGAGGTCTTTTGAGGTGCCATAGTCTCGATATGCTGGGCTGTATCGGTCGTCATCGAAATTATCACTGTAATAAAAGCATCAGCATCAGTGGCATGAGGCATTGGCTCATGGGCGTTAACGCATTTGAGAGATAGCGGGAAGGTCTGAACCTGGATAGCACATTCTGGTCCAAAATGACGTGTTAATGTGTGGAAAATTGCAAACATGTCTGTGTTTTCGTGAGAATATGGGAGGCAAAAGACTATTTTAGTAAAATAGCCGCTTGCTCTCTAGCCGTCATTAGTGGGAAATTAGAACTTGGGGCATCCGCATAATCACTATCATTGACATCATCACGACACAGACGGCTGTCAAGACTTGTCAAGACAAGACAAGTGACTAGACGAAACAAGATGACGAGACCCAAAGTGACACAATTTCATTAAATGGTAAATGCATGGCTGTGCTGCGCGGTGGTACTTCACGCGATAACCTTCACGCTGGTGCCTCTTACGGACTCGGCGGCTCTTCCGTATTTCATCCAATTTTGGGAATCGTCAAGCTGTGGCAGTTTTCGTTTCATAAAAGGGTGTTGTGCGATAGTCTTCGAAATTATAGGAACACAAATCAAAACGAAACCAATCCTTTACGAGGTCTCAACACAGGCTGAACGAGATATGTATCGGCCTCCACCTCCCAGCTAATCTCTTTATCTCTAAGGAAATATCCCGATCTCCATCCCGATGCCTGCCATCCTGCAAAGCAAATTAACCAATAGCTGTGTTCAAACGTTGCTGAAGCGTGTTCTTGCACAATGTGACCCCGCGCTTCCACGACGTTCCGCATATCGTAGCCTCGAGACATAGGTAACCACTTGTTCGCCCACCTGCTTCCTTCTGCCTGCATGATTTTGTGACGCGGAAATATCCTCCCATAGCCGCATCAGTTCTAGACGGAGCCAGAATGTAGGGCGATTTGCTTTGACTGAGATATCTTACACGTCGCCAACGTGTTATCCTCAAATCACCGTTTCACAACGAACTTTTATTGTTCCCGGTGCCCTTGAAATCATTGGAATATAACGGACGTTAAACAGAATGCTTCGCTGCCAGAACCAGTTTGCTTTCGCCGACAGCGCCGTACTTTTTTAATACAGTGTTTTGTAGCACGCAAAATATGTGCATTATATATATATATATATATATATATATATATATATATGTAACTATATATACATACATATTTATATAAACACATATATACACATACGTTATACATGCGAGCATAATTACCCGCAGGTTCACTGACCCCTTCCCGCTGTGCGAAGCATTAGACCTGAGTTGGGGTTCTCGGGTCTGCACTCTTATCCCTGAGTCATAAGTACCCTGGCCGCAAACGAGAGTTACATGCAAGTAGTCTACCGTTTCACGTGGCGGATGATGTTCTTAGCTTCTCCAAGACAATTTTACTGGTCGATTCACTTAGGTCGCTGAAATGCAACAGCTCACAGCCTATCACTGTTGCAAGACGTGCCCAAATATTACGTGGTCTGAAAAAAACCGATGAAATGCTGCGCATGTACTCAGTTCCCGCCAAAACAGGCCTCAGAAATACAAAACTGTCGGCGGAAGGCAGCCCCCCTCTCCCGCCAATCATGTTTTCAACAAGCGTCACCGCAACCTCTGCTCGATCGGTGCGTACAGAACACCGAGGCCGCTCTCTCGCGGGTAACGCAGCCCACCGTACCGCGAGCGTCCCGCCGCGTCACGAGCCGCTGCTGTGCCGTCACGTCACACGGTTACCTGTCGCGCTGGGTGCGCTCGTGTCTGAGCACGTTGGCCAGGCTGGTGATGCGACGGCCCTGACCCCTGAGACGGCGGTGCCAGGAGCCGTCGGCGGCGCGCAGACACAGCAGCAGCGCCAGCAGCAGAACGGACCGGCCTGAGGCGCGCATGGTCTGCGGAGGGGAGACGCGCTGAGTCAGCGGAGCAGGGCCCCGGTCGGGCAGCACGCGCGGACTAGGGGAAGCCCTCAGGTCAGCAGGGGCCGCGCGTCACACGGCTGCCGTGGACTCGGGTCACGCAGCATGTTTAGCGCAGGCTGCACAGATCATGGTACAGGCAGCAGCGAGACGAAGATCTTTGGAGCGGTGTCTTGGCTCGTTCGCTTAGTTGGTCAGCATCTTCCTTAGTTACTTCGAGCCATTCGAGACATCCAGAAAAAAGCCGCTTGTGGAAACGGAAGGCGTTCTGTTTAAAGTTTGAGCCTCATTTGCTGGTTACAAGTTCCCAGCAGCATGCAAGCGAGCAACAGTGGCATTTGCATGATGCTGTGATTAGACGCCTTCCCTGCGCCGCTTTAAACGTTCTCTCACGTTCTCTTGTTTGATCGTTGATAGATGCTTGGCATGCCCAGCTTGAGCACATTATTTGTCTCTCTTTTTCCAGCGCTCGATTTTTATTGTTTTTCTTCCGATGCTGGAAGAGGCACAAACAACCATTTGACTAATGTGGTGTGTAGGGAATCGACAAAGTACATAAGTGGTTTGCAAACCCGGTACAGTTTCTCCCATTGGGTCACCTCCGTCATCTCAGATGATGCGACACGAAGGAATAAACGTAACAAACCCTCTTGCATTTCATGGTCGTTAAGTGACACTAAGCGACTAATCACGAGACGAAAGTAACGATGCCTCAAAAGGACAGCGCTCGTTAATCTCCTTGAAAGCTTCCTGGTAACTCGCCCCTGTGTTGTTGGCCGCTTGTTGCGTCAAGCCATGGACTCAGTGGCTGCTCAAGTCGGCCCCACCATGACTTATAATTAGCAATAACGACATTAATGTATTAATGTTATGGTGCCGGAAGCAATACACGTAATAGCGCATCTGGCAGCAAAAATAAAAGCACGACAGAATTTACTAGGTACAAATGGGTGAAAATATTTTCCTGCCTAAACGTTCGGCTAAGTCCGATTTGCATGCGACGAATTTCGCCTGACATTCTTCCGCGCGAAGAATCAAGCATCCCTGATATCTTAGAAACTGCCGAACCGGTTTCTGGTGGAGGTATTAAACATACGCCCGTAGTCGAAACCACCTTTTCTTTCCGAAACCGTTATCATACGGCGTCAGTGTGGCACTCAAGAGGTCAAGAAGCCCTGAAATTTAAACTGATCTTTCTCCACAGAACCAAGCATCTCATACTCCCGCATTCCTTTCCACTTCAATGCCACGATTACGATCCGCCCAAAAGTGTATGTGTACTGCGCGGTCTAATTTGGAGTCAGTGTTGGATGCAGAGTCCTCAAAATTATGCGTTAATAAAATGAGATGTTAGTGAGTAAATCGTTGCAATGCAGATTTTCCCAGCAACAAGCTCTGCTTAGCTGGGTGGACTCCCTGGACATCCAGCTCAAAACCCAGCACAAAAATGACCAGGTAATTGCCCCCTCCGACTTGTGACTGTATAGCCCTTACTAACACGGGGAATTGAGTGGTTGTAGATTATTGGGCGGTTGTAGCGGGCTGTCATTAGCTGACTTTGGCTAATGACTACTTTAAGCCTTTCATCTATGATTTTTCCCCACCTATCACATAACACAATTCCTTCGGGTCTGCTCCACCTCTTCGCCTGTTTTTTTTTAACGTTTGTTTCATCTTCCTAGCTGGGAGTTCCGCGACTTGATTTTATGTTTTCTGGTGTTAACGTACGGTTTACTGCGTCGCTGGGATTGCGGGAGGGGCACTCCTGGTTACCTGTTCTTGGGTAACGGCGTAGAAAAAAAGCAAATCGGTGTTTGTTGTCCAGCCTCACACTGTGAAAGGTGAATGTGAGTCCAGTCCTGGCAAAGGCTCGGATCAGTGGCGGATGAAGAATATACGAAATGGGGAGATGGGAGGAAAATATCATTAGCGCAGTCCTTAGATGCGTATAAATCATAAACGCTACCTCTCTTTTTAATATGTGTTGCACTGCCACCGGCTCTGCCGCTTGATTCAGTCGTCTCTGCAACTTTTGACCTCTGTCGCGATGCCGTAGCCGCTTTGTTATCAACAAATAACCTGTTCAAAACTTTCCTGATACGTACCTAAGCATGAATGTATGAGTTCTATTATAGCATATATGCCCCTACCCCTGTCACATATAGCCCTTACCCTGGCACGTATAGCCCCAGTGCTGTCACATATAGTCCCTGCCCTGTCGCATATATCCACTGCTCTGTCATATATAGTCCCTGTCCCCGTCACATTTTTTACACTTATGCCATGTTTTTGCAGTCGGCACCGAGCACTAGGGCAGGAATAAGGTAGCAGCCATTACATGGACAGACTGATTTCGGTACCGAAAACAACGTCGATTCATAATGGCCATGTATCCCTTCCACTCCTTTCCACTCAGCATATGACAATGCAGTATTCAGCAAGTACGCTGGAAGATTGTTCGTAGAACATTCGATTATACAAGATTTCCTATCGAGTATAGGGTTTCCTTGGTGAGAAATGACCTGTCATTGCATGCCTCTGAAAGCCCGCATTCTCCTCAGCAAAGTAGGGTACAAATTTGCGTCAGGATTGAGTTGATGCCGAATTGGTGGTCGAGAAAAGTCAACAGATTTCAACGCTGCAGCCGGAATGGCTTGGGGTGGCGTGAGGAAAGCCAGAATCGGGCCGAATCGGGGCCCACGCAAAAAAAGGGCCAAGCTTACTACCCAATCAGTTCAGAGCCCTGCTACAAGCCTAAAAAACAAGCTTGGATTCACACACAAAAGTTTGCAGTGCAAGTTTGCATTAGGTGAGAATGGGCACAGCAATGCCCATATACGTGCCTGCGATCACAAAACAGCGACGCAGCCTCTGCAACCTGTAACGGCCACGAGCACCGCCGCGGTCGGCGTAGTTCCCGTACTTCCCAGGTTCGAGTGGAGGTATTGCCCGCCCTCACCCAGGGGCGGACTCAGCACCGGATCTTGGGAGGTACCAACATCCGGTTGGGTGGCCAGACTCCAAGTCTGGTACCAGCCACACTAAAATCAAGCTGGTGTTTTCCATCGTCTTAGGAGAGATTGTGTCCCGGTTGCCCCCCCCCCCCCCCCCGCGCCTCCCGCGCCTCCTTAGACCCGCCTCTGACCGTCAGTTAATGGGTCGCACGGGTCCGGCCGGAAGAGTCACATCCGCGTGAGCCCACACCGCGCCGCGGGCCTGGGAAGGCCGGTCAGGCGGGGCGCGGCCAGTGCCGCACCGCAGCGGCAAGTCGGGCCGTCACCCGATGACGCCGGCCCGGCCCGCCCGGCCGCGACCGCACGTCGGGCCTTCCCGGCGCAGCGAGGCTCTGGTCCGGGCGGCCAGGGCCTCCGGGGCCGGTGCTGGCGTCCGAAGGCCGGCTGCCGGCGCGCTGGGAGCCGACCGCCCGCGGGCGTCCCGGTGCAGCCTCACGGTCGCCCCTGATCGGCTGTAAACCGTGCAGCGAGGTCGCCAGCGTCCGGCCGCGCTGGGGGTGACGCCGATGGGCCGTCTGGAGACGTCAGCGGGGTGTCTGGGCGGGAGTCCGGCCCTGAGGCCCGTCTGAGGACCCAGTCTGAGGCCCGCCTGTGTCCTCGTCTGAGGCCTGCTTGTCCGCATCTGAGGCCTGCTTGTGTCATCATCTGAGGCCTGCTTGTGTCCTCATCTGAGGCCTTCCTGTGTCACGATCTAGGGCCTGTCTGTGTCATCATCTGAGGCCCGCCTGTGTCCTCGTCTGAGGCCTGCTTGTCCGCATCTGAGGCCTGCTTGTGTCATCATCTGAGGCCTGCCTGTGTTATCATCTGAGGCCTGCTTGTGTCCTCATCTGAAGCCTTCCTGTGTCACGATCTAAGGCCTGTCTGTGTCATCATCTGAGGCCAGCCTGTGTCCTCATCTGGGGTCTGTCTGTGTCATCATCTGAGGTCTGTCTGTGTCATCATCTGAGACCTGCCCGTGTCCTCGATGCGACACCTGTCTAGGTCAATTCAAGCGCGAGACTCACTTTAGCCGCAGTCTGAGACCTGTAGTCCGCGTCTGAGACCTATGGTCCCCAGTCTGAGACCTGTGGTCCGTGTCTGAGACCTGCGGCCCGCGGTCTGATACCTGTGGTCCGCAGTCTGATACCCGTCTTCACGCTATCTGGGAATCCACGTGGACTGCGTGTCGTGGCCGGCGAAAGCTCCCCGTGTTCATGTCGTTCATGGCATTTGGGCCTCGCCTGGATCCGTATGAACTCATGGACTTAGGGATGGTCATGACCTGTGGTTACGTCTAACTGTATCCAATTACATCGCTAATTGGGCCCATCCGGATGTTCGTTTCGCACTCGAGCCTGCCTGGTGGGCGAAGCTGCCTGCTTTCGCCGCGATCCGGCGCCACGCAGGCTCAGCGGAGCTTCTGGGAGACTTCCGCGAGCGGTGCCGTCCACCTGGCTTCGTGAGGACGGACTTCCCGCCTCGACAGATCAGGTGATGACCTCCCGGCGTGTGACGCGATGAAGCCCACAGATAAGGAGCATCTAGCGACTGGTTCCTGCAGCGGCTGCACGACACCCGACAGCGGCGGGTCACTCCCGCGCCGCGAGGGTCGGCGCCCCGCCCGCGCGGCGGCGCCCGTGAGCCGCCTGGCGACACTGTCCCGGGCACGTGGCCGGAGCGGCGTCCGGCCGGCAGACGGCTGCAGCAGATCACGGACCGCGTAATCGGCTTCGTGATCCGTCCCGCCATGCACGGGATGCAGGTGTGCTCAACGCGGCGCTCGGGTCCGGTCCGGAGACGGTCCGGCGGGTTTGCAGCGGTGGGCGCGGCGGTGGGCGGGGAAAGCGCCGGTCCCGCCGACCGCGCCGCTGAGGTCATCCGGGTCAGGTCGGCGGATTAAAAGGAGGGGCGAACTGGACCGGGCACCGTTATCGCTCGGAATTATAGGCTGTGGTGGCCGATGGCCGCTGCGGAGCGGCGAGTCATATCCAGTTTTGACGTCGTGCGATTGTGTAATTGGCGCAAAGATCGCGCCATGGGTCTTCTGCTGTGCGCCATTCTTCTTTCGTTTTCGCAGGAACACATCGCATGCTGTGGCGTGTTTGAGAGACACGTAATGGTGCACGAGCGATCGTTTGGAGCCGAGACGTACTCGGGACGTAATTGGCTGTGAAAGACGACCTTGGAACAACATGACAAACAGGGCGCGTGATTAGCAAGTGTCGCTAGATCAATCCTGTGAAATAGCTGCCATCCAAATCTTCGCACAAAAGCTGTGAAATTTGGCTCTTTCATTGGTTCTCCCATTTGAAACTGTCATTTTAAGAGCTACGTGGACAGTGATAAGCCCAATAAGGGGAGGAGGAGGAGGCGCCGTCATGCGACCCGGGAAGTTGAAAATGCAGAGTTTTTCTCATTAGCTTTTGTCTTCAGATTTCAGGTTGATCTACGAGTGGTTGGCGTGATATGCTGAGCTTGCCCTCCTCAGATTAGGTGTTAACCCAGTGCTCCATGCCCCTGGTTAATCCGCTGACTGCAACCTACGCAACGCACGCTAGTGACGGCTTATATTCTGAGGCTCGATGTCAACATTGATCTCGCATGGCCCCTAATACTTCTGCTTTCACCAGAACGCGGCCAGTGCAAGTCCCTGTTGTCCATGTTGTCCGTGTAGCCACATGACAACCTTGCACGAGCGAACCGCGGTCATCGTGAGCCCAGCTTTCAATCACACGAGAGCTCCGCCGTGCTGTCCCGACATTTTACATTTTGTTATGAGATCCAGGCAACTTCCTGATGACGCGGCGCAAGCGCACCTCTGCCGTCGTCAGGTATCGCGGGCGTAAGCGGGTGATAGCCATCTGGTCTGGTCTGCACCAGCTGACAGCCGTGGGCGCCCCGACTTCTGACGTCAATGCAGCTTCACAGCCTGACGGTTTGGCTGTAAATGTACGCGTGTTTATGAACATGCCGAAGCTCGCGCTGTGCTCGGACTATGGCATCCCGAATGCTCGCACTATCTGTGTGTCGCATCTGCTCATCGTCTGTCTTCCTCGTCATTGGTCGCATCATTCTGATTCGCTACCTCACGTCAGTGCGTGACACCTCGCCGCCAGTCTCCCCTGAGTAAGCGACTTGTCATTGGGGCTCAGTCCAGCGCACGCCGCTTCGTTGTCGGTCTCACTCGAGAACGTAACCTCCTCCCGAAGTCTCATCTGATCAAGTAACTTACCGTCGTCAGCCCTGCCTGACAACGCAGCTGTCTTTAGTCCCATCTGAGGAAGTGACTGGTCCGTTGGACTCAGTTCCACCAAGTCAGTTCCACCTTAGTACGTGTCTTTCCGCTGTCGATTTCACCTCAACATGTGCATCTCTGTCGTAATCTCACGTGAGAGCGTCACAGCCACCTGCGAGCGTGACTCCCTGCCATCAGTCTCACCTGAGGACGTGACCCCCTGTCGTCAGTCTCACATGAGAACGTGACTCCCGCCTGCGCACGTGGCTCCCTGTCGTCAATTTCACCCGAGAGCGTGACTCCCTGTCCTCCTTCTCACCTGTGAACGTGACTCCATGTCGTCAGTCTCACCTGAGAACGTGAGTCCCGTCGTCAGTCTCACCTGAGCCGTTGCTTGGCCTGTCTTCAGTATGGCCTCAGTCGCGCGTGTCTCGCTGCCGTCGGCTTCGCGCCCGCGCCTCCAACCCAGCCGAGCGCCTGCGATACACTGGCGCTCTCTCCGCCGCGCCGTACTCCCACGGTCCGAGGGGCACAGTGGGCGGGGCCTCTGCCGCTTCTCGACTCGCGTGAACCTCCCCCGGCGTGCCCGCGGGCTGTGAGCCAGCGAATGGGAGGTGGGGGGTGGGAGAGTGTGGCGTGGGAACCGTTAGAGGTCGTGGATGCGCTCTTAGGTGGGAGCCTAGGAAGCCGATTTGATTGGTGGCTGTTATTCATGCGAATGACGGGAGTGCTGCTTGAGGGGCTGATAGAAGCTGCATAACTGTCCCGAAATACCCTTGCGTGCACTGCGAGAGACGATCACGCAATTCAAATGCCGACGAAGCTAACAAGTAATGGTGATACGGATTTGAGTTAACGGGTTCCATTTCGCTGCAACCCTATTAGTTGGGAAAAAGCCTGTAAGTCTAAGACTTCCGAAATCAGCAAACCTGTTGTGGCAGTGCTGGCTGTTTCCTCCGTATATACTGCACCGCTGTCGTTTGCATTCTTGTTGTTGCTTCTTGTCCAAGAGACTCCGATTCTCTACCCATCTCACATCACCTGGTGGCTCATTGGATTCGTTATGGAATGTTTGCTCCATCATACAGGATTGTAGCAATGAGGGGGGGGGGGGGCTACTGGTGTCATGGCTCTGAGTGAAGAGGCTTACGCTAGTTACTGGAGGGTTCATTTTCAGGTGTTCGGAGACCCCGAGGACAATTCTGACCTTGCGCCGCTGTCATCTGACACGATCTGACACTCTAATTGCACCCACTTCTTCTGGGCTGTGCTCCCTGAGAAAGTTGAAAACGGTGTTTACTGCTATATTTATTAGATTGCAGCACACATCAAAATCCGCGACAGCAATATATTCACAATTTACATCACACAATATTTCCGATAGAGCCACAAGTACCCTGTACCGGACGCTGGTAATGTTTGCGACATACTGAACGCGTAGCCAGGCTGACACAGCTTTGGTCTATTGATGGAGTATCCCAGCTGATTGCACTCTTCAAGACTTCCACTATACGGCGGATATCCTACTTCCAGGCAATTTTCGCAGCCAGGGGTGATACTAGTGGACGAGTCACTCTTGATATGGGCATGTTCACCCTTCACATGGGCTTTCACGTTGGTATGGCTTAATTTGAATTTATCGGTTCACGAAGATGGCTGCTTTTTACGGAAATTCGCCACGACAATAATAACGATCTGTGACCCCAGCCCCTCGTAGGTACAGATCGTCATGCTTCGATGCCCTTAAAAATGTAATGTTCAGCTTAGGCTGCGCTTTGGTGGAACAGCCCACCTGGAAGTCTCTTTCCGCGCCGTTTGCTGTCTGAGCCCCATGTGATCACAGGCTGAGTGGGCCCGACTGTCCGTGACGTGTGGCTCTGTGCGTTGGCCGGTCGTCCGATGTTCAGCGGGTGGTCACAGCTGGCTTAAAGCGCGACGCCAGCGCCGCCACGCGGCCGCAGCGGCGAAAGGATGGCGCTGCGGGCGCTGTGGCGGGTCCGCTTGTAGCGGGTGCCGTCTCCGGTACGCACGCAGTCATGGTAGGCCTGGATCAGGCCGAGCAGCTCGCCAGATGCCTCGCGGTCTCGCTCCAGCGCCGCCATCAGCTGACTCATCGACAGGCCCTCTGTGCGCGGACGAGTGGGGGGGGGGGGGGGGGGGAGGGGGAGGGAGAGTCAGTGACGAACTGGCCACCGCTGGTCGCCGCACTCCGATCTGTATCGTTTTAGGGTAAACGTGACACCTAGCTTAATATGCAAAAATGTTATATTTGAGGCAAGTTGTTGGTCTTTAGGTACAAACATACAATTTGCAATTGCATGCCTCGAAACTAAGTCATAAAAGCCGTTGCCAATCGTTTTCGCATAAGTGATTTATGCACGCATGCAAGCGCATCGGTGAGCTGCCAGTGACGCCTTCCGAGTTGTTCCGCTTACCCTTAATGAAATAATCACTGCTGCAAGCATCACTGTAGCCGTTTGAACTCATTATTGAAAGGGTTCTCCCCTCCGAATACGACACCTATTTTGGCCCGTAAGAAGCCGGGGAATGAGATGTTGCGCGCCCACATCAACCGGGGCCGGAAGGGGGCATCCACGCGCAGCTCAGCTGAGAGGGGGGCAGCAAGACGGGCGCCGGATACTGACGGAACTGCTGGGCGGCGCTGATGAGGGTGACCAGCGGGTTCTGGCCGCAGCCGTCCGAGCTCTCGCCGGCGCGGGCCAGCAGCAGGCGGCCAGTGCTGGCCGACAGCAGCAGCGTGACCAGCAGCAGGCTCCGGCTGAGTGGGCTGCAGTTCTGCCGGCACAGGCCCGGACGCGTCGGCGTCGGCTGCCGCGCGAGCGGTGTGTGCGCGTGCAGGTGCGGGGAGCGGGGAAAGAAAGTGGGAGATTAGTTAGAGAACCGCGACAAGTTACAACGCAAACAACGCCCGAAGCACTATACTAATAAGCCGCGGGAAAAATAAAAATTCGGTGTTTTAACGGAAAGACAGCCGAACCGCGGAAGCGCACGATATGTGAGCGTCTGGGCAAGAAAACGAGCACAAGGAAAGTCTAACGCGGCCATGTAAAGCTTCTGGACTGTGAACATGTCGGCAGGGAATACGACGCCGTCAGATATGGTATGCGTAATATACAGACATATGACTGGATGCATGGTCTGGTCGGGTACCAGAATCTGAATTCGGTCATGAAGTGCTTCTATGTGCTACGATATTCACCCTTTGGCTCATGCTGATCGGTGTGTCGACACTGGCGTCACTTTGGTGAACTGATTGTGATTAGATGCTGGTATGAAATCCAGGAATATGCAAGCTCGTCACCAACACTAGAGACTTCATGCTGTCAAGACTGCTTAAGATAGTCTGTGATGTCTTGCTACACGAGTGCACTATGATTTGCTCAGTTTCAGCCAGTTTCATACGAGTCAACCGTGCGACCTCCAGCAAATACCGTCGTATTTTGGATTGCATCACTTTGATCCCCATCAATGTGAACAGGGAGAGGGAGCGGGAGAGAGAGAGAGAGAGAGAGAGAGAGAGAGAGAGAGAGAGAGAGAGAGAGAGAGAGAGAGAGAGAGAGAGAGAGGAGGGAGAGAGAGAGAGAAATAGACAGACTGACAGACAGACTGACAGACAGACAGACAGACAGACAGACAGACAGACAGACAGACAGACAGACAGACAGACAGACTTGTCCAACAGAATCAGTGACGGACGCGGCACATCAAGAAGTGACGAAACCCAGCGGTGTGGCGACGTTCTGGGACTAGCAGAATTCGACTATATCGCTCTTTTTGTATGAACTCCTCTGTGGCCAAATGAACAATGCACGATTAGTCGCGTTGGTATCGCACAAAAACGTTACCAAGCAGATATGTACCGAGGCCCAAAGGGATCCCGGATCCTAAAAGATTCTTGAAAAATGCTTTACTGGTTCATACACCCTGCAAAATTACTATGGAAAATAAAAGTGCCCGTCCTGCATGTACAAGTATTTCAGCAGCGGACTTGGGCTACTAAGAGATGACTGGAAAACAATATTTGTAACATCGGGCAATATTTTACCCCAAAAAACGAAAGTATTCTGAATTCCAGAGGCTTCTTGACAAAATTTGTAATAGATCAGGGCCCTGGAGGATCCCGAAACACTCCTTCGCTGACGGAAAGCTTCTTTCCCATTTAAGACATAGAACCTGATAGATCAGGTAAAGAAAAAGTTTTAAATACAAGGAAATTTGTGCGGAAGATTATCATGGAAAGAACCTATCTCGCATTGGTGACAAATAGTAACTAAGATATCCTGGTTCTACGCCGAGCCAGCAGTCTGGGAAATGCTCAAAAAAATCACTAACGTTACAAAAGTGAATCCAAGGCGACCCTTGGACACAGCATAAACGCAAGTTCTGGATATCATTCGATATTCCGAAAAAAAATTAAAATGAATCGTGGTTCACGTATGCTTTCCGACAACACTCTGACAGGATTGAAGAGCAAAACAAATCGTTCGGCAACACATCAATATAGGTCCGGCATCTCGGATTCCCGGACATGTTAAACCTGGCCATGGATTCCACAGGAGCTTGAGGGACACAGCCCGGGTTTTGGGAGCCATTCCTGGCACCCAAGTTCATTGCTGCTGCCAAGATTGTGCACCGTGTTGGTGCGCAACCCATCTTTCGGCAGCGGCTCCTGTGTAACGTCTCCAAACCCAGCAACTTTCCAGATGCCGTCACAGCATCAGGCGAAGCCCAGCGCCGTGATGGAACCTACCATGATGTGGGTCCTCTGGGCGGTCACTGCACTACGCTGAGCTCCTGCAGGCGGTGCCGGGGTCGCTCTGTCGCCTGTGTGCGCTCACCTGGGTATTTATCTGCCGCGGTCTCCAGCGGCGTCCCCATTCAAACGGCCAAGTGCCCCGTAATGAGACTCAACAGCCCACGGCACCCCCGGCCGAAATAGCCCGCAGGCGCGCCAGGGGTGGACGTCTTCTCGTGACCTTCCCCATCATCACCGGCTGGCCGGTCAGCTGACCGGGGACGTGCCGCTGGTCACCCTGCGGAAGATCGCGTGTTAAAACGCGCGCTTGCGGGGTGGGTGGTGTTGCTGACTTATTTTGATGGTATGTGTTGCATTGACCTAAGAATACGGGTTGTCAGCGGATATACACATAGTTTAAACGTACTCATGTTCTATTCTCCCGTATGGATGTAGTAAATGTGCAACCTCGCATACGTCCGTCAACGATGCTTCTAGTTCAAACCTAAAAATTGTTCATGCTGGCTCTGATGCCATGCGTATCAGCTCTTGACGACCACTCCTCTGAAGACCATTGTTGAACCTTTGGGCAATGGTTGAAATGCGCAGTCTCATACCAATGCATCAATGATGCATCATCTGCAGATCTAAGATCGGCTATATGGTTGCCGTGAGAGGTAAGGTGTCTTTAACTTTAGCTGTCTCACATT